GCCGCGGCTTCATCTCGATCGTCACACCGACCACCGCGCTGCTCAAACCCGCCACCAGAACCTGCTCGGGAACATCAGAGCGCTCAACCGACGGACCTGACGAAGCCATCGAGAAATGAGGGAATAGAACGGAGCCGTTACCTGGTAGTCGAGCGAGCCGTTGTGATGGAGAGTGAAGACGGCCGATCCGACGCCGCCGGTTTTCCCAGGAGTTAGAGCAGAACTGCTGGACATCACGCTTTGAAGAGCTGAAAGTGGAATAAATGTTACATAATCATTTTTCAAACAAGTCAGATTGATCAAATATAGTCAAATAGATCAGACAGCAAAAAGTCTTGAATGTACTGTAACAAAAAACTTAAAAAACTAAATTTTGATTATTTTGGTACTTGGAACCATGACTAACATTACATGTGAACTTATATTATATCTAGTGCTGTCAAACGATTAATCGCGATTAATCGCATCCAAAATACAAGTTTTTGTTCACATAATATATGTATGTGTACTGTGTATATTTATTATGTATATATAAATACAAACACATACAGTATATATATTGAAAATATTTACATGCATTTATATTATATATAAATATATTTAATATATAAACAATATTTATTGAAATATATACATGCATGTGTTTGTATTTATATATACAGTACATAATAAATATACACAGAACACACACATATTATGTAAATAAAATCTTTTATTTTGAATTTGATTAATCACGATTAATCGTTTGACCGCACTAATTATATTATATTTGATATATATATATATATATATATATATATATATATATACTGTATATATATATATATTATTTTTTTCCCCTTGTATTTACATCATTTCCGAAAATGTATTGAAATAAAACCATTTGATGTAAATATAGCAAAGTCTTAAAAGTACAGTAGCAAAAACTATTTCTGTAGTTAGAAAGAGCGTGAAAAACAACATTTTTATTGTTTTCTTGCATAAAACTAACAGTGACTTACATTATACATTAACTTAGAAGTAAATCTTCCTGAATTTACATAATTTGCCAGAAATAAGAAATAGCTTGATATAAATGTTTTTTTACTTGTAGTTTTTGTAGTTAGAAAGATGGTTAAGAAAACTACAGAACATGAAAGAGACATACATTTACATCATTTCACATAATCTTTTTTAGATAAAACCTACAATGTAAATTTAGTCAAGTAGATCAGATACCAAAAAGTCTTAAAGGTACAGTAACAAAAAAGTTAGAAAGATGGTGAAAAACTAACTGACTAACTATATACACTTAATTTTCCAGAAAGACTATTTAAATAGCTTGACATTATTTTTTTTATTTACTTGTAGTTTTTGTAGTTAGAAAGTTGGTTAAAAAAAACTAAAGTTTTATTGTTTTGGTGCATGAAACCTTGACTTACATTGTAGTTTAACTTATATCTACATTTCCTTGAATTTACAAAATTTCCCAAAATGACTTTTGAAATAAAACAGTTTGTTGCAAATAAGTTTTTATTTTTTGTTATTTGTAGTTAATAAGAGTGTGAAAAACAACATTTTGATTATTTTGTTCAATAAAATGAATATTAACTAACATTATATGTTAATTTAAATGTAAATTCCCCTGAATTGACATAATATCCCAGAATCACATTTGAATTAGCTTGATATATTTTTGTAGTTAATTGTAGCTTTTGGTAAATAGAAAGATGGTAAAAAACTAAAGATTTATAGATTTTTTTTGTGCATGAAACCTTGATTAACATTGTATTTTAACTTGTTTCTACATTTCCTTGAATTTACAAAATTCCCAGAATGACTTGAAATAAAACAGCTTGTTGTAAATAACTATTTTATTGTTAGTTGTACTTAGAAAGAGCGTGAAAAACAACATTTTGATTACTTTGTTGCATAAAACCTTGACTAACATTATTTGTTAACTTATATTTAAATGTACATAATTCCCGAGAATGACTTTATTTGAAATAAAACAGTTTGATGCAAAAAAGTTTTTATTTTAATTAAAATTGTAGTTTTGTAGTTTAATTGTAGGTTTTTTTTGTAGTTAAAAAGATGGTGCATGAAATTTTGACTAACATTATATGTTAACTTAAATGTAAAATTCCTTGAATTGACTTTTTTTTTTAATAAAGCTGTTTGATGTAAATGTTTTGGTTTTTTGTAGTTATTTGTAGTTTTTGTAGTTAGAAATATAGTGGAAAAACTATATTTTTTTTATATCTTGTATTACATTTGAACCTATTTATAAAGTAATAAAATGATAAATAATTATAATATGACCTTTTCAAATAACTTTTATCAGGGTACTGGTGACAGAAAACCTCTTTAAGTAACTTGTATTTGTGCATGTGACAGAAAGGGTGAGAGAACCAGGGAAAACTAAACAGAATGGAGAGTTTTGCGTGTGATTAGAGGTCCAGAGGGACTCAAACAATCGCTGTCGCACCGCAGCCAGAGAAACACAATCAAACCCACATGAACTCATGCGGGGTCAAAGGTCACGGCTGGAGTGACGTCATCCCAGGAGACGAGGGAAATCAGCCGGCGTGCAGGTAAATAGAGACCGTTTCGATGTAGAAGGAAAGAAAGGACGGCCGAGGAGTAAACAGAGCGTGAGCGGCGCAGGATCGTTTAGGTTTGAATTCTTTACACATAACGTCAAGCTGTTAACGGTGCAGCTGGAATCAGACAGCAGAAGCAGCGCCAGCACTGTGTGTGTGTTTGTGAGAGTGTGTGTGAGTGTGCGTATGTGTGTGAGAGTGTGTGTGTGTGTGTGAGTGAGTGTGTGAGTGTGTGTGTGTGAGTGAGTGTGTGTGTGAGAGAGTGTGTGGGTGTGTGTGTGAGAGAGTGTGTGTGTGAGAGAGAGTGTGTGTGTGAGTGTGTCTCTCGTTTCACTCGACTAACATACGGAATAACCACGAAACCGATCCTACAGCATTTGACCTCTGACCTCTGGCGGCATTCCTGACCTCTTCACAATCGCCATCGTAATTATGACCGGGAAATCTCATTCTGGCACCAAAAATACCCGAGATGATTTATGCATGACACAAAGATGAAATATAACACGGTGTAAATCACGGGATAAAAACAGCCACAGCAGACAGACGGATGTAGTTACTGATCTAATGTGAGATCAACTGAAGCCTGCTGTCATTTAGTTCAGCTTTGAGCTCACTGTACGATAGTGTGCTACTAAAAGATGATTAAACTAGCCTATAGAAGCCTAGTTGTTACAATTTTAAATTAAATCTTTAATATTTACAACAAAATTTCCTGTTAAAGTGTTGTTTTTGTCTTATTTAATTTTTGTAATATATAACAGTACAAATTAAGGTGATTTGTGTATTAATGGGGTTATTTATAAGTTAGTTGTTGATGTTTCCTGTATTTTATTGATTTTTTAATTATCAGTATTTTATCTTATATATCAAAAACAAATAAATGTTGGCATTCTAAAATTATTATATATATATATATATTTTTTTAAATTAATAAAATTAAATAAAATATTAAAATATTTATAAAATATAATATAATATGTAATATATAAAATAAAATATTAATACATTTGTCAGCACAGGAAAGAAAACTGTCCAAAGCCGTTCATGTCTCTTCACGCTGGTTTATGTGTTAACGAGGAGATTGTTGACGATTGGCTGCACTTACTGTCACATGATCTCTTGCCAGAAATGTTTCCGGAGATCTGACGAGGGTTTTGACCTTCTGTTTCCACCGAGATCTGCAGCTGTCCGCGGGACAACCAGAAGAGTTCACGACTGTTCAGATCGGCCAGGACTTCAGCCAAGTCAGAGTCCTACAGACACATGCGTTCCTCTCGTTATTCTGTTTCATTAATATTCATTTCGATCAGTAAAACTTAACTCACGTCTGCAGAGATGTTTGCTCGTATTTCTCTCAGCAGATGCTGACGGTACAACAGTTTCACTCGGACCGGCACCTTTGCAGAGACTGAAACAGAATTTTAAAAAATATATATATTATTTAACTTTATATTATATTTATATTAAGTTTTTTATTTATTTTCAGTTAACATTTAGTAACAAAAATGTTTTTTTTTCTTCTGGTTTTAATTACCGATAATAACTCACCATATCTGTATCGGCCGGCGGGACTCTGAACTCAAACGCAGTGTTTCCATCGGAGTCCAGGAAGGTGATGAGGCTCGGCCGGTTCATCCTAAGAGACAAGCACACGTGTAAAGTGAGCGGCGGAGGATTGTGATGGCCCTCACATCTGCTCTGGTGTGAGTGTTACCTCTGGAACGTGATGGAGAAGGTCAGGCTCGTCCGAGTGAGAGTGAATCTGGCTCGAGCGACGCCGCTGGAGTCCCTCGCACCCGTGAGTACAGCCACAAAATCTGTTCAACAATAACTCAGGTTAATCATACTCGGACAATGATTTAACACTCATAACGTATTCGGAAGAAATGCATAGAAATGTGTAAACAATGCATAGTTTTTAGCAAGCGATTGAAACTTTGCATATGCTTTAAGACCCTCAAAATACACATCCTTTATTTTTTTCGGATTTTTTATCATTGTTTTTTAAGAGATAATAAACATTTCGTGCTCGGGTCATTTTTGACCCGTGTATGTATGGAGCACCATTTGGTGTCAAAAATACTTTAGTAAAAATATCTATGAAGTTATATTAGTGTCTTCATATCTCTCACACTTTTGGGACTGAATTTTGTTGATAAACATGAATATGTACGTCAACTGATGAACCTGCAGCATTAAAAATTCATCAATGTTTTATCTGAAAGTAAAGATTTATGCAGGTAAAATAAGTTTATTAAGTTTGTTTGTTTATGTTGTTTTGTTAGAATAAATATGTAGGTTTCATGAATTTGGACCAGTTTTTAAACAATCATGAGTTATACATTCAAAGAATTAAAGTCCATTCATTCCAACTGGGTTAACAACGATAATTCTCAGGTTATATGTTTGTATAAATTTCATACAATGATATATTCATATAGAATTTCTCACCAATATTGACAAAAATATATATAAATTTTGCATCACCGTTTTTACAGTGTGGTTCATGAGTAATTTGAGATTTCTCCATTTTTTAATTAATAAAAAATGGGTAAATGCAGTTATAGCGCGGTAACATTCAAAACTTTGAAATAGTCTCTGAAGCTATATTAGTGTCAAAACTTTTGTAAAAATATATCTAGCCTTTTCTTCATATCTCACACACTTTTGGGACTGAATTTTGTTGATAAACATTAATATATATATATGTTGACAAACTACTGCAGCATCAAAAATCACTTTTTGCACCCCAAAGTAAATGTTTATGCAAGTAAAACAGATTCATTTTGTTTAAAAAAAATTATTCAGAGTTATAATTATGTTGTTTTGTTAGAAATAAATATGTAGATTTAATACATTTGGACTGTTTTTGAGCACTCGTCGTGAGATATAAGTTCAAAGGGATTTAATTAAATTCCATTCATTCCAACTGGGTTAACACCGATAATTCTCAGGTTATATGTTTGTATAAATTTCATACAATGATATATTCATATGAAATTTCTCACCAATATTGACAAAAATATATATGAATTTTGCACCATAGTTTGTTCAGTGTGGTTCATGAGTAATTTGACATTTCTCAATTTATTAATTAATAAAAAAGGGTAAATGCAAAAATAACATGGTAACTTTTTTTAGCTGCTGATCAGATTCAGTATGGCTTCAGTTTGAAAATATGAAGTTATGACTGTTTTATAAGATTTTGATTTTGAATGCATTGTGAGGGAGTCTCACCGGTGGCGCTGTCTCGGTTGCTGTTCTCTTCAGAGCTGATGTAGGATCTGTCGTTGTAGGACTTGTGCAAGTCGTCGTCTTTCTCATGGAAGAACTCAAACAGAGACTCCGCCTCCTTTCTCCCCGAGTCGCCTGTAACCACGGAAACCAAGATGCATGATGTCAGAAAGATCGTAGAACGCACAATAGAGCCAATGTTCTACACGGACCGGCATCCATAAACATGAGTGCAATTACACCGAAGCAGACCATCAATCCACACTCGCCGCCATTTATCACTCCGTTTGTCTGCGAGACACACACACACACACTTTTTCCCGTATAACAGTGTGGCATTCCAAAAACGCTGGACTGTGTTTCCATTTGTTCACCGTTTGCAGAACCTTTTGGGCATGTTTTGCAGCAGTGTCCTGGAAGCAAGACCGGATCGTCACAGGTCGGATCGGGACAGTCCTGTTTCATATTCCTGCAGCTCACCTTCCCAAACACCTTGCCTCGCCGGCTCCTCTGCTGCTCGGGGAGAGAGAGAAACGTAATAATAAGCAGGAAAATGTTAAATGCAACGATTATGAAATGAATTTGATTCAGCTTTAAACGGCTCTACAGAAGACAACAGAGTCATTATTCAGCTCCGTTCAATTCAGTGTTGATTCGGTTTAGTTCTACAAGTGTCGATGTTGCATTCTATGTGGCAAAAAAAAAAAAACATAAAAAATATATTAAAATATTACGTTTATATATAAAGTTTCAAAATCATATAAAAAAATAAAAAAAAATTTTAAAATGATTATTTAAAATAACACAATTTTAATGTTGCATCCCATGTGGCACAATTCTTTTTTTATTCAAAATATACAAAAATATATTAAAATATAAAATTATCAAATTTGTATAAAATGATAAACAGTTTAAAAATAATATTTTAAAATAATATACAATTTAAAATGAATGTTGCATCTCATATGACAAATATATTTCAAAATATACAAAAAAATATTAAATATAAAATTCGTATAAAATAAAAGTAATATTTAAAAAATAATTATTTAAAATAATATGCAATTTAAAATTAATGTTGCATCCCATGTGACAAAAAATAAAATTTTCTAAATATATAAAAGATATGTTAAAATATTAAATTTATATAAAATCATATAAAAATATATTTTTTTAATTTAAATATATTTAAAATGTTTCAAAGGATATAAAATACCAATATATTTTTTTTAAATAGATTTTTTTTTTAAATGATAAAATATCATTAGAATTTTTAAAGTATTTAAACATATATTTTGCATGTTTAAATAAAAACAAAATACATTCACATTTAAAGAAAAACTATTTTTTTGTCTACAACAACACCACACTCTCAATGTTGAAAGCTTCCTCAGTTATGAAATGCAGTGTGTGTTTGAGGTCTTACCGGCTCGCAGTGACACATAACGCAGTGCATCACACCGAACGGCTCTCCGAGATCTGGATGCCACGTGTCTTCCAGCGAATAAAAGCGGCCACCGAAGGAGCAACCTGATTGAGACAATAAACAAGAGCAGCGTGAGGAGACCTCCAGACGTTTACTGAGAATGTGTACAAATCAGCTTCAAACCTTCAAGAACTCCAACTAAAACGAGATCACATTCAGCGCTGGGAACCAAAACATCTCCTCGGCTTTGTTTTGAAGAGAGAATGAGAGATTCGAGTCAATTTGGCCGTGTATTGCATCTGGAATGAGGTCGGCCTCCCTTTATAAAGCGAGACTATTAAACAATTTATTGTTAAGCTAAACACACTTTCAAAGACACGCACGTAAACTGTCATAAACGGAGGTAAATCATAATAAATGCCATTGCCATTGCATCAAAGTCTCTGTGGTAAGTCATAGTGTTTATCTGGTTCTTCGGAGATTCTTATGTTGGCTAAAACATCAGATGCATTGATGGTTTTCTAGGTTTTTGGCTCTAATTGCAAATTGCAACAAAACAACCAAACCAACAAAAGACCATCATATGCACTCATTAAAACCAGAAATAAAGGTTCTGATTGGAATCCAAATGGCTTTATTGCTTGTTATACGATATCGTTCTTTAAAATAGCATTTAAGGAGCTGACGAACCAATGATGGGTCACCAAAAACTGAATTAGCCTCCAAAGGACAATATAGCAAATCATGAACTCTTTACAGCCAAAAACGTTCTTGAAAAGAACCTTTACAACTCTATTCTTCTTTGGAGATCAAAACACGGATATATTATGTTGGTTCTGTCCAAAACATCTCTATTAACAGATGATTAAAGTGTTTTTGGTGTCTATGTTCTTTAAAACACCAGATGCATTGATGGTTTTCTGAAGAACTTAGAGCTTTTGGCTCTAAATGCAACCTAATCATGATCAAAAGAAGAGATTTTCCTTCATATGCACTCATTAGAACACAAAAATAAAGGTTCTTATTGGAATCCAGTTGGGTTTTATTGCATCTGGTGCTTTAAAGAGTTGAAGAACCAATAATGAAAGCCTCCAAAGAACCATAGCAACTCAACAGTTACTGTATATTGCTCTTTGGAGATTAAAATACTGTTGTATTATGTCGGTTCTGTCCAAAACATCTCTATTAATGGATTATTAAAGCTCTTCAGATCACTGTTTCGGTATCTATCTTCTTTAAAACACCAGATGCATTGATTAGTTTTCTAAAAGACTAGAAAATAAAGTTATTTGTGGAGGCTTTTGGTTCTAAATGCAACCAAAACCTGCTTGCTCTTATCAAAAGAAGAGTTTTCCCCTCCATATGCATTCATTAGAACCAAAAATAAACGTTCTTATTGGAATCCAATCGGGTTTTGTTGCATCTGGTGCTTTAAAGAGCTAATAATGAAACATTAAAGCATTGAAACAGATGCATTGATGGTTAGAACTAGAAAATGAAGTTATTTTTGGAGGCTTTTGGCTCTAAATGCAAATTTTTTTTTTTTTTTTTTTAAACAAAACCTGCTTATTCCGATCAAAACAAGAGTTTTCCTTCATATTTAGAATCAAAAATAAAGGTTCTTATTGGAATCCAATCGGGTTTTGTTGCATCTGGTGCTTTAAAGTGTTGAAGAACCAATAATGAAACATCAAAACACACTTAAGCTTCCAAAGAACCAGATAGCAACTCAAAAACGGTTCTGGATAAAGACCACTTTGGGTCAAATATGGACTAAAAATGTAATGTACAAATTTATTCCAGTCCATATTTGACCCAAAGTTGGGTTTTTAGAGTGCGTATAAGGTTCTTCGGTTGAGTTATATCGCTCTTCGGAGGTTAAAATGCTGTTGGTTGTATCTCTTACCGGACAAGCCTTTCGACAGCATGGGTTCCGTCTCTGGCTGGATGGGTAACGCGGGGGTCTTGAGTCTCGAACCCAGAGCCGATGCGATGCAGGCGCAGCCCAGAATCCACAGCACTCGCGGCGCCTCCATCCCTCAGAAACCAAATAAATACAGTTCTCTCGATCGAGTCGTGTCGGCGCGGCTCCCGGTTTTATCCGGTGTTTGTGAGGAGGGGCGGACGGGGCGGATCCTCAGAGCCCCAAAAGCGTTTAATACACATGCACCAGCACTTGTGAATGATCTCAGTCACTTTACACGCTTCTGCGCGCTTTGATTCTCTGGCTGGCGTCTTTTCCGCTCGTGCAATCAATCGTTTAGTTTCTCTTTCCGTCTTGAAAATCCATGAAAATATCATAATGGAGACATAGATATTATCAATAATGATGATAACGATAAATATAGTTGTGGACTAATGCTTTTGTATTTAACCAAGTGTTTACGTTTATTTAATTTGCTTTTTATAACAAGAGTACAATGTTTGCAATACTTTTTATTTTATTTTATTGCTTTTTTGCCCTTTTTTTCCAAGTAAATATTCACCACAAGCCTGTTGGGAAACAAAATCAATTAAAATAATTAAAAATAAAAATAATTAAAATTTAATTTGCTTTTTATAACGAGAGTACAATGTTTGCAATACATTTTATTATTATTTATTTTATTTTTTTTACTTTTTTTCCCAAGTAAATATTTATCACAAGCCTGTTGGGAAACAAAATCAATTAAAATAACAAAAAATTACAAAATATTTAATATTTAATTTGCCTTTTATAACAAGAGTACAATGTTTGCAATAGCTTTTTTGCCGTTTTTCTCAAACACATTTTCACCACAAGCATTCTGTTGGGAAACAAAATAAATAAAAAATAATACATAATAATATAAATGTATTGTAAAAAATTAAATTGGATGATTTTATATAATTTTATATTATTATAAATTCTGTAATTCTTAATTTAGAGGTTAAAGATGGATGCATCAAACAGGCAATCTGATAAAAAAGACTAGAACCCATATTAGTTTGATAAACTATAAAACACTTAAGATCCACAAAGAAGTTCTGATCGTTTAAAAAAAAAAAAAGTTCTGGTGCTTAAAAAGGCAAAACATAATTCTGAATGGCCTGTAATGGAACATTTAAACTTTTTAGCCTCCAAATAACCCTACAGCAACTCAAGAACCACATACTGCTGAACCCAAAGAACAACTGAACACTCTTTATATTGAAAAGTGTAGATTTTAATTGTATTTTTACACATTTACAGAGACAATTATGCAGCCAGCATTGAGTGCATCTCTTAGCGCCGGAGAGCTGGACTGTTGTTGTGTCTCCAGGCCCCTGGTTTGGGCCTCGCTGCTCCATGATTCACATTTTAATGTGCTTCAGCATCCATCAGCCCCCTGCTTAAATCAAAGGCTGAGTGGGGAGTCCTTTATTTCTCAAGACTTCCTCCACAAGTAACTCACTGAATGCACCCTGAGAAGAACCAGGGCCTTTCTGTGAGAAGAACAATGAGGAACCAAAAGCAATTATATTTCCCTCACTAAGTCTTCAGAGAAGCCAAAAAACGTTGGAAATAAAGGCTTTAATGGGGTTTTGATGATGAGACTAAACTCATTGAAGTTTGCTGGTTTCATCTTTGATGTTTGAAGTTAAAAACAAGCACTTAAAATAATACAAAGTGCATTTATGACGCAAAAGATCAATGCTTTTATTTGTCAATTGATTTCCTTTCATATCATTGTTGTTTTTAATAAAAGGCTAAACTTTCCCAGCTAACATAAATGTTGTCCTTACGTTATTAAAACATTATTTGTGAATGTTCTGGTAACATCCAGTTTTTAAAATTTTGTGGGTTTTTTTTTGTTTATTTGAACATTAAAGAAACATTCCATTTTATGATTTGAATGTTACTTTTAAATGTTTTCTGAACGTTTCGTCGTAATGTTAGATTTTAAACATTTCCCCGTAAAGTTCCATGAAATATGTGTAAATAATGTTTTTATTCTAAGAACGTTTTGCTAAAGTTCCCTTTTTACGTTATATAAACGTTATTTTTGAATGTTCTCTGAAGATACAGTTTTTTTTTTTAGAATGTTTTGAAAATGTTTGTTTTTGGCTTTTCGAACATCGTCGGAACGTTACATTTGATCATTTTGCTAACGTTACATTTGAATGTTCTCTGAACGTTAGAGTAACGTTAAAAAAAGTTCCACAAATGATGTTTTTGTGCTAATATTTTTAGAACATTATTAAAGACCAGATAACGTTTTATTAACGCTACTGGAAGAATTTTTGCTCATAACTCCTTGTTAGCAGGATGACGTCAATCGGATATAAATATGGACACTTTCCCTTTAAATTTAAAGACAGTCATGATAATATTACTAATAATTAACAATAATCTGTACTGTAAATCACGCAGGTTTGTTGAGGACCCCCCTCTCTGTATGTGGCTATGGGGTCATTTCCCCTCCGCGGGATTTGAAAGGCTCTAAATGATGGCGAATAGGCTAATGGAATAATAAAATAACAAAATAATAAAGTCATATATCAGTGATCCGGAAACCTCGCGGTTCCCCGCGGCCTTCCCGCCATGCAGATGTTAAACGCGGCTATAGAAGACGCTCTACATGAGAAAGACGCGCAATAAACGCCAGCAGGGAACACAAGGCAGAAAGATCCAGCTTGTGCTCTTTTCTCTTGCGAGATTACAGATAAATAGAGCTACACGAACCCTAAGATGTGTGCGAGGCACGTATTTTGATGCGCGCGCGTTGGATTTGCGTAAAAAGTTTCGGAATGTTCGGTTTTCTTAAATAATAAGAGTCTCTAATAAATAAGTCGCTCGAATTAATTACAATACGTTGACATTTATGAAAAAAAATATATATATAAAATTTGCAAAATTATATTTTTACGAAATTGTATATTTTTATTTAATACATTTTATTTAGGCTATATTGCACAATTATACATTTTAAATTCTATAACAAAAATTATAACTGAATTATAATGTTGTGTTGATTTATTACATTTTTATTATATTAGCCTATTATTTTTTAATTATTATTATTTTATTGTTAATTATTATTATAATGTAGAATCGTTAGTTGAATTTCTAGACATCTATATAATACATTTTATTTAGGCGAAATTAAACGATTATACATTTTAAATTCAATAACAAAAAGCTGTAACTTAAATATAATTTTGTCTTATTTCCTTTAATTTTATTATTATTATTATTATTATTATTATTATATTCGCCTGTAATTTTTTTTAAAATTATTATTGTATTATTATTTACTATAATGTATAACTATTATAGTTGAATTGTTGTGCATTTATATTATACATTTTATTTAAGCTATATTAAACGATTATAATTTGTTTAATTCAATAACAAAAAAGGGTTGTTTTATTTAATTTGTATTATTATATTCGATTTTTTCAATATTATTTTATTTATTATTATTTATTATAATTTAAAATTATTATAGTTTAAGTTGTATATATTTATATAATGCATTTTATTTAAGCTATATTAAACGATTATACATATTTAATTCAAAAACAAAAAATATTATCATATTAGCCATTTATTTATTTATTTTTATTTGTTTATTTTATTATTTATTATCATTTATAACTAGGCCTATTACATTTTCATTTGTACAATGTATGTATAATGCATTCGACGCACTCTGGTAATGAGGTTTCTCACGGTCCTGGGTGTGTATGTGTTATAGTCTCTTTATGCTCCGTTAACAGACATGTGAGACAGAACTAAACATCACAATATACACAGCAAATGGTCTGTGTGTGTATTAGCGTTTCCGAAGTGAGTTCACAGGTACACACGAGGTGCTTGAGCGTGTGTGAGGTGTGTGTGTGTGTGTGTGTGTGTGTGAGGTGTGCGTGTGTGTGTGTGTGCGTGTGTGTGTGTGTGTTTGTGAGGTGTGTGTG